TGTGTCTGACCAGGGCACAGCCCCCAGGGCCAGGAGAGTGCGTCTTTCCCTGCATTCTGTCCGCAGGTCCCAGTCTGAAGGCCCTGGGTCAGCTCAGGGTCCCACATGCTCCTTGCTGAGACTGGTATGGGGCGGCTCTGGCTGAGGTGACCAGTGCACCTGGGGGCGGGGCTGGGGTAGCCTCCTTGGTCCCGGTGGTCTCTGCTGGGCGTCCTCCCCAGGTCCTGTGTGCCTTCTGTGGTCCTTCTAGGGGCCGCTAGCCGGCTGAGCAGCAGGAAGAGCTGCCTGCAGCCATGTGTGTTTGTTCCTTGGTTTGGCCTGGACGTGAGGCCCTGGGTTCCCTGGCTGCTCTGTCAGCCTTGCAATGACACGGACCGCACCTTTGTGGGTGAGACGGGCCCCTCCTGGTACCTGGGCCTCGGGGGAATGCAGAGGCCCAGGTGCCCTGATGTTCTCCCTTCTAGGAAGCCCTTGCCTGGATCCTGGCTCACCACACTGCATGGGCTGGAGGGGGCGGAGCTGGGGAAGGCCCAGCCTGGCTCTGTCCAGGGCTTCCGCTGAGCCTGGCAAGGAGGCCCCAATGCCTGCTCCCTTCCAGCGCCGGCCCTGCTCACATTTTGTGTTCTGGGAGCTTAGTTCTGTCACTGTTCATTTCGGTGATTACTAGCCCCGGAGGGCTTGCACATGTGGCCAGTGTCTCCCAAGCCCCGCTTTCTGTCTCTGTGGCCCTGGGCGAGAGACCGTGACCTCTTTGGGACTCAGTTCCCTCCGATGCAAAGGTACTTCAGAAAGGGTAATTTATTTTGGCAGCTGCATTGTGGCGCAGCAGGTCAGGCTGCCCCTTGCAATGCCGGCATCCCATATGGGAGAGCTGCTCCATTCCGATCCAGCTCCCTGCTAATGGCCTGGGAGAGCAGTGGAGGATGGCCCAAGTGTTTGGACCTCTGCCACCTGTGTGGGAGATCCAGAAGAAACTCCAGGCTTCTGTCTGGCCCAGCCCTGGCTGTTGCAGCCATTTGCGGAGTGAACCAGTGGATGGAAGGACTCTTTCTCTGGCACTCTGCCTTTCAAATAAATAAAAATTTTTTTTAGAAAAATAGATAACATTTATTTTGGTAAAAACATTTTTGAAATTGATGGAAAATGCATATTATAGAAAAGCTCTGCATGGATTTCCAAAACAATTTGTTTGGCGTGAAAATAAAGTCACCTTTTAGTTCCGCTTTTCCATGAAGTTGTTGAAGCGCCCCCCTCAGCCCGAGCAGGGATAGTGGTGCTGGCCTCGCGGGGTGTGGGCTGGTCTGGGACTGCACCTTGACGGGTGCAGAGCAGAGCGCGGCCCCCGGCTGGTATGGCCATCACGACGACTGCTCTGCTGTGTCCGTACTCCGCAGAGGGTATGAGCACTTGAGCTCTCACTGCTGTGGGAGTGATGCTGCTGATGGATGCCATGGCCTTGTGTGTCCTGACACTTGCAGATGGAAAACATTTATTTTAGAGAGGCAGAGACAGTTCCCACCTGCTAGTTCACTCCCCAGATGCCCTTGACGGCTGGGGTGGGGAGGCTGAAGCAGAAACCTTGAACTCAATCCAGGCTTCCTGTGAACGGGGCAGGGACTCAGGTTCCTGAGCCATTGCCGCTGTCTCCCGGGTCTGCAGCAGCAGGGACTGGAGGCTGGACCCGGACCCTGGTTCTACGGATGGGGATGCAGGTGTCTCAGTTGGTGACTCTGCTGCCAGACAGAGCGGCAGAGAGAGACACCTCCCGCGTTGGCGCACGGTGGGCCAGGGGCCTTGCACGTCCTGTGGGCTTCCTCTTCCCTGTTGCTTGGTCTTCCGAGGTGCTTGGTGGGCAGCTCCTGCAGCTGCCGTTCGTTGGGCTGAGTGCTCTGAGTTCCTGTGGCTGTCTCCCTCCGCATGTGGATTCCAGGGTCTCCTAACACCGTCTTCTGCCTCCTCAGAACACTCAGAACCCAGCTGTTCTGACTCCTAAGCCCGGGTGTCCAGGCCTGAATTGGTCAGAGTCTTCTCACCTCCCTGCTTGTACAGAGTAGCCCTGTGCTGGTGCAGCTCACGCTCCCATTTGCTTTGAAGCTGTTCACACTCTATGCTTGTCTGAGACAGACTGGGATGCCTTAAGGATCCCTAACGACTCGGAGACTGAATCAGTGGGGGCTCTTGCCAGTAGAAGAGATGAAAAACCCCACCCAAGCAGGCTGAAGCAGTGGGGTGTTGTGTGTGTGTAGAGAACATCTACATGGGAACAGGGGTGGGGGCCGGTGCTGTGGTGTAGTGGGTAAAGTCGCTGCCTGCAACACCGCCGTTCCATATGGGTGCTGGTTCTAGTCCTGGCTGCTCCACTTCTGATCCAGCTCTTTGCTAATGGCCTGGGAAAGCAGTGGAAGATGGCCCAAGTGCTTGGGCTCCTACATCTATGTAGGAGACTAGGAAGAAGCTCCCGGCTCCTGACTTCAGCTTGGCTCCAGCACTGGCTGTTGTGGCCATCTGGGGAGTGAACCAGCAGATGGAAGACCTGCCCTCCCTTTGTATGTCACTTCCTCTCTTTAATTCTGACTTTCAAATAAATAAATCTTAGAAAAAGAAAGAAAGAAAACACACAGATCTATATAACTCTATTTTTTAAAATTTTTATTTATTTATTTTTTGACAGGCAGAGTGGACAGTGAGAGAGAGAGAGACAAAGGCCTTCCTTTTTCCGTTGGTTCACCCCCCAATGGCTGCTGCGGCCGGCGTGCTGTGGCCGGCACACAGCGCTGATCTGTAGCCAGAAGCCAGGTGTTTCTCCTGGTCTCCCTTGCGGGTGCAGGGCCCAAGCACTTGGGCCATCCTCCACTGCACTCCCAGGCCATAGCAGAGAGCTGGACTGGAAGAGGAGCAACCGGAACAGAATCTGGCGCCCTGATCAGGACTAGAACCTGGGATTCCGGCGCCGCAGGCAGAGGATTAGCCTATTGAGCCACGGCGCCGGCCAGACCTATATAACTCTAACGTACCTGGCTTCGAGGAGGGCTTGTTCGGGCTGTTACCAGAAACTGGTTCCTAAAACTGTTGCCCCTCTGCATTCTCACCAGCGCTGGCCACTGTTTGCCTTCCTGACGGCAGCGTCCCAGCTGGGGAGAAGCAGAATCTTGTCCTGACTTTGGTGTCACCCCATTGCCAGCCCACATGGAGCATTGTTTCGTTTGTTTATTGGCCGATTGTCTGTCTTCTTTGGAGAATTGTTCGTTCAGATCCTTTGGCTGTTTTTGAATTGGATTATTCATCTTTTTAAAGATTCATTTATTTTCACCTATTTCAAAGGTAGGGTGATAGAGAGAGAGAGAGACAGAGAGAGGGAGAGACATCTTCCATCTGCTTCCAAATGGCTACAGCAGCTGGTGCTGGGCCAAGCTGAAGCCAGGAGCCAGGAACTCCATTTGGGTCTTCCACATGGATGGCAAGGGCTCAAGTCCCTGGGCCATCATCTGTTGCTTCGCCGGATCGGAACTGACAGAGCTGAGACTCAAACCAGTGCTCCAATGGGGGATGTGGCCATCAAAAGTGGCAGCTTAACCTGCTGTCACACAGTGCCTGTCCCCAGAGAACACATCCTTTTGTTAAGTTCTAAGAGATCTTTCTGTATTCTGTTTACAAATCCCTCATCAGATAGTAAGTTACACTATTTTCTTACATTTTGTGGCCATGTTTTCATGTTTCTGATAGTGTCGAAGCACTTGAAGCGTGGAAGTTTTGAATTTCAGCGCAGTGCAGTGTGTGTTTTGACATGTTTGTTTAGTTGCTTGTGCTTTTGGTGTTGTGTCCAAGAATGCTGTGCCTAACCTACAGTCACAGAGACCTCACTCCTGCATTTTCTCCTAATGTTTCGCAGTTTCAGCTTTTACTGTTCAGGTCGGTGATCCCTTTCGAGTTAGTGTTTGTGTACGGAGTAAGGGAGGGATCCGACCGTATTCCACGCAGCATGGCTGTGTGGCTGCCCCAGTGCCATTTGTGGGAAGACTGATCCTTCTCCCTTCAGTGGCCTTGGCATCCTTGTTGAAAATGAACTGAGCCTGGATGTGAGGACGTGTTGCTGGCCTCGCAGGTCTTTTCCTTGGCTCTGTGTGCCTGGCCTCGCGCAAAACTGGAGCATCTCTAAGTAGCTCAGGTAGCCATGTGTTGGTAGTGGAGCAGCAAGTGCAGAGGCCTGGGGGGTAGGAAGAGGTCCTCCGTTTTGGAGCTCAAGATGGGGGAGTGGTCCCTCCCCTGTGATCCGAGACACCAGAGCCAGTACTTGGCTCAGAGTGGGACCCAGCGGTGAGTCTGCCAGGTACTGCTTGGTTTCAGTTCCCCACCCCTAATGCTGAGCTTGGGCAGTCAGACCGAAAAGCGAAGCCATCTGGGTCTTGGTGTCGCTGACCTGTGGCATTGGTGGCCCTGAGGGATGCACTGAACTGCAGTGCCCAGGAGTATAGGAGGAGCTGAGGCGGGGCGGGGGGGGGGGCGTACCTCCCAGCTCCACCAAGAATAAAGAGTGCTGGGGGCTTCTGCCTCACGGTCGTGCACATGCTCCCACCCCAGGCTCTTTGCCCCTGCTGTTCCCAGTACCTGGCAAGCTCTTCCCTCAGATGCCTGCAGGGGTCCCTCTCTGTGACCTCCCTATTTAAATAGCATGCCCCTCGCCCCTCCTTCTGATTTGCCTTTATGGAGTTTATCACTGCTTATGTTGTATTTAATGGAATTTATTTTGCCTCATCTTCATCAGACTGCCGTTATCCACCAAGTGAGGAATTTGGTTGATCATTTTGTGCGCGGGCCCTAGAACACTGCCTGCTGTGGAGGAGGGGACTGAAAGAATGAAAGAATGAATGAGGGTTATCCCCCAGCCCCAGATTAGACAGCTTCTGTGTAGCAGAGCTGAGGTGTGGTTCCAGGTTGGGCGCGTGGCAGCTGGGCCCGCTCTGGGTTGACATCTCTTCTTTCCACCCCTTCGTGTGCCCCAGGAGCTGGCCAAGAGGACGCCTGGGAAGCACCCGGACCACCCCGCAGTCCAGAGCGCCCTGCAGGCCATGAAGACCGTGTGCTCCAACATCAATGAGACCAAGCGGCAGATGGAGAAGCTGGAGGCCCTGGAGCAGCTGCAGTCGCACATCGAGGGCTGGGAGGTGCGTCCAGGCACAAAGGGCCCTCGGGCTGGGACAGGGGTGGGCGCAAGGGTGCAGGGGGCCAGGTCCACGGTCTGCTGTGCATTTTGTGTGGCCTGTGTCGTGTTGGCAAAACCTCACTTTAATGATTTTCCACTTGAATCCACCTAAGAATCAGGTTTCAGGTTTCCCCTGGAAACTTGGTGACTCAGCCCCATGTCCCACGGCCACAGCCACCAGGCCCCCCGCTGTTGCTCCCCGCTGGTTCTCCACATTGCCTGGTGAGAACAGACCTTTGAGCCTTGACTTCAAGGTCAAGGGCGGCACTGAGGGGTGCACTCAGGACGAGCTTCTGGCTCCGACGCTGCCTCGCCAGGTAGCCGGCAGCAGCTTCTTCACTTCTCTGAGCTGCGTCGTCCTCACCTCTGCCCGGCACTCAGCAGCCACCGCGGAGGTGGGCCTCGACGCCGCCATCACACCCGGCGGGGGTGCGATTCCCGGGATCTCCAGGCTTCACGTAATTTGTCCGTTTTACCCCTGTGCATTCCTTAGGTTATTAGCGGCTTCCTGTGACTCTGTAGAAGGAAATGGGAAAATCTGAATAAATAAAAACATCAGTAGCTGAGTAAACACAGCTGGGCCGGGAGATGTGCGGAGATGAGAGGCCCTCGGGCATGGACTGGCACACTGGTCATCTGGGCTTTTCTGGCCGTGAGGGCCCTTGGGGGTTTGCACTCTCGTCTGTGTGCTGGGGAATCCTATGACACCTGTCGCTGTGAAGTGGGGGCTTTGCTGCAGAGGGGAAGGGGGGCCTATGTACAGGGGTGAGGCGGGGAGGGGGCTGGGCCCTGGCCATGTCTCCCCCTACCCCCTTATGCCAAGGAGCCATGTTCTCCCAGATGTCCTTGCGGCTTGGGTTTGGGATGTGATTTGGGGTGTGGACAAGATCAGGTGCAGCTGCTGGAGATCTGGAAGGCGGGGCTGGGCTTCTGCAGCCAAGCACACCCCTGGTCGAGGCTGACTTCCTGTGCTGGCATCAGCGAGGGCCTGGGTCCAGCTTTGCGAGGGTCATGACTCATGACCCCCATGCACGGGGCTCCCCATGCACATGGTGCCCCCTCATGGTGGGTGGTCCATGTTTGGCAGGCATGGATGGCGTGGTGGCTGACAGGTAAGGCCACAGCTGATGAATGCCTGGATGTCCAGGGGTGTGAGCCAGACCCGGAGGGTTCCGATTTTCCTTTTCCTCGCAGTGGCTCCCCCGGTGGCCAGTTCTGCAGTGTCCTTGGTCTTCTGGGAGCCCCAGCCTGGGTTCCGGCCCATCCAGCCCCCTCAGCCGTGGAGCCAGCCCCTGTTCCTTTCTGCTTATACAGAGCCTGCTTTCCATTCCCTGCCATGGGCGCTGCTGAGATGCGGGGCTGCCAGCCAGGCCGCGGCCTCTAAGGGCTTGCTTCTCAGCCTCGTGGTGTCAGCTCCGGATGGGTCTCTTCATGATCTGTCTGGCTTTTTTCACCCAACTCCACAAAGGCCACAGCTCTAAACATCTTGGGTTCAGAATTGCAGGAGACAGGGATATGGCCAGGGCCAGGGGAGGGAGATCTCCTCTCCGTGGGGGGAAAACCTTTACCAGAAGCCCCCGGGGGACTTCCCCTTTCATCTCAATGACCAGAAGCAGGTCACATGGCCACTGGAACCTCAAGACCAAGTACAGTTGACTCATTAAAGCATCTATGGCTTTGAGCTTCCTGGCAGCCAGAGTGAAAAGAACAGCTCACATAAATTACCTGGTTCTCTCTTCTCTCAAAGGGAAGAGCTGAGCAGCCCTTTTGGAAGGCAGAGAGTTTCTTGGCCCTGGTCTAGACTAGAAATCGGTCACGCAGCCCCCTGCAGGGAGGGTGTCGGGCAAGCTCCCTGGTGGCCAGAGCAGGAGTAATTTCTAAAGGCTTCCTTCTGAGCAGGGACCCGGGAGCCCTTTCTGACCCTGAGAATCTGTAGTCGGAGAAGTCTGTGGCCCTCGCTTGCATCTTTGTTTCTGATAGTCTCGGGAAATAAGTGACCCAGAGTGGGGGTTGCTGGCCATTATGGAGCGCCTGCTGCATGCTTCTTCCACTACCGTGAGGAGGTGCTGTTGTCACCTGGAAACTGAGGCACAGAGAATGGGCTTGGAGGCCTTGCAAGGCTGTCCTGCCCTCTGGGCCTAACTTCTTCTATTTGTTTAATTTTAGTGATCGCATCTCTGTAGTTATCTTCTGGTGTCATTTAAGTTTTTTTTTTAATGTATTTACTTGTGAGGCAGGAGGGTGGGGTGTGAGCCAGGGGGCAGAGACAGTGCCCCCGCCTCTTGATTTTCTCCCCCAGTGCTCACAACAGTTAGGACTAGTCTGGGCTGCAACTGGAAGCTTGGAACTCAGTCCTGGTCTCCCGTGGAGGTGGCAGGAACCCAGTCACTTGAGCGGTCACTGCTGCCTCTCAGGGTCTGCAGGAGCAGAGAGCGGGAGTGCAGAGCCGGAGCTGGGAACCAAACTCAGGCACTGAGATGCTGGTGGCAGGTGTCTTACCTGCGTGTGAGCCGCTCGGCTAAACGCCCGCCCCTGCTGCTGGTGTTTGGAGGATGAAGTTGAGATGAGGACCACGAATGGAAAATGTGAAATGGTTTTCCATGAGGTGGAAAGGTTTCTGTGTATACTTTGGTCCCAGGGTGACCTGGGAAAATAATAGAGTGCAGCTGGGAAGAAGCGGTGTTTCCATGAGGCTGCCAGTGTCGCAGCCTGAGGACAGTGTGATTTAGTGAGCGTGAGCGGCAGCCTCCCACAGGCTCACATCAGAGACTCTTCTGGATGGTTCCGAATCTTCTGTGACCTCTTGTGGCCTGGGGAATGGTTGTCATCTCTGAGGGGGCGGTGGGTCGGGCACTGGGGTGGGGGTGTCCCCTCCTAGCCACTGCCTTGCTCTTGGCCCCGGCACAAATCCTTCTCAGGCTGATCCCATCCGTTTTTTTTTTTTTTTTTTTTTTTCCTGATCCTTTCTAAGCCACTTGCCTTCTTTTCTTTTGATTATGAAACTGGTTTAGTTAAAACCAGATAAGTTAATCCACAAATCTGGTTGACCGAGCACAAGGAAAGGGCATTATGATGTAATACCTTGGAAGTGAGTGAATGAGCCAGCCCCCCCCCCATCTGCGTGGAGAGTCCCTGCCTCGGTTTCCCTGTCTGAAAGGTCCCGATCACGGCAGAAGCCCCCTCCCCCACAGTGGGTGACTTGAGGACTTGGAGCTGATGCCTACATTATGCTTAGAGCTGAGGATACGCTCAGGGCCCAGCAGGGAGCAACAGGCACAGATCTCTGTGCTCCCCTGAGCAGTGTCGGTGGGAGTGCACCCAGTGTGGCCTGGCCCCACCCTGGCAGGGCATGCTCCAGGGGCAGAGCCCTTGGACCACAGCTGGAAAGAAGGGTTTATTTTTTAAGGTTATGTACTTATCTGAAAGTCAGTGTTGCAGAGAGAGAGAGAGAGAGAGAGAGAGAGAGAGAGAGAGAACGCGCACGCGCACTTAAGTCTGTTGCTTCACTCCCCAAATGGCCACAATAGCTGGAGCTGGGCTGATCTGAAGCCAGGAGCTTCTTCCGGGTCTCCTACGTGGGTGCAGGGGCCCAAGCACTTGGGTCATCCTCTGCTGCTTTCCCAAGTACTTGGGCCATCATGTGCTGCCTCCCAAGGTGGCAGGTGCATTAGCAGGAAGCTGGACTGGAAACGGGGTGAGGACTCAAACTGGGAGCTTTATTATGGGACGTGGGCTTCCTAAGTGGCAGCTGAAGCGCTGTGGCAAGTGCCCATCTTGTAACTATTTGACTTTTAGGATTATATGTAATAACTTTAAAGCACTTTTCCCTGCCATCAGCAGGGAGCTGGATCAGAAGTGGAGCAGCCAGGACAGAAACTGGCACCCCTATGGGATGCTGGCATTGCAGGTAGCGGTTGTACCTCCTACACCACAGCACCAGCCACCAAAAATATGTGTCCTTAATAGAAAAAAAGAAACGAGGCGCCCTCCCCATGCTGCATCTGGAAGCCCAGTGTTAAGAGAGGCTCAGCCGTGAGCCAAGAGTAGAGGACCTAGGAGAGAGGCAAGCACAGCCAGGAGCAGAGGAGTCTTCCCGTTTTCCCAGTTTCTTCTCACCTGCCCGGCGGTGCCTCGGGCTCCCAGCGGGCTTCTGCCCCTTGGAGACCCTGCTCTGGACGGAGGATCGCTGAGAAATCTGCTCTGGGGCACCCTGGGGAGGAGGTTCATGGGTGGGGGAGGGGGGCCAGCCTGTCCGGGTCCACATGCCCACTGGAGACCAGGTTCCTTTCACCTCTGTGTGCCTCAGTTTCCTCGTCTATAAAGCTGTGTAAGGATGAGCTGAGCTCGTGTGCGCAGCTTAGAGCAGCACCTGGTGTGCCGTAAGCCCCGCGTGTGCCTCTGAGCTGCGAGCTTTTGTCATCTCTGAATATGATGACTTCTGGTGGCCAAGTGTGTGGCTCTGGAAGGGGACCTCCGGTGGGCTCAGTGTCTTCCCTGTGTGCCTGATCCTTGGCGCCGTCCTTGACCCGGGTTCAGGGACTCCAGGGACACCGAGGGTCCCGGTGGGGTGTCCCTGTAGTGTGCTCGGCATTTCAGGTGTAGTCTACTGAGTGGTCCTCGGCCAAGGCCAGGCAGCTTCCCAGGAAGAACAGGCTCCTCTCCCCTCCCCCGCGGTAGCCTTGGCAGCAGGTGCAGGGCAGGGCTGTGTGACCTCAGGGCTCTGCAGCCGTGCCAGGGACCAGGTCCTTGCAGAAGCAGCTCGTTTCCCCAGCCGGAGTCTGGAGGCTGGTGTGAGCAGGGGGAGGCGAGGAGAAAGGGAGGCATGGCTGCAGGCTGTCTCCTGGAGCTGGCCCTCAGGCCGCGCTTGGAGCTTCACCACCCCAGGCCTCACGTCCGCCTGGTTTGAGGGGGTGCTGGGGGGCTCACCTCGGCAGCGCTGTCTCTGTGCAGCAGGCTCACCGCCTTGCTGGTCCCTGCGCTGTGGCAGTCAGAGGTCTGCCAGTGGCACGTTCAGTCTGTGCCCTCAATGCCAAGATTTCTGTAACTGGGCTCAGACTCCTGCTCTGAGCTACCCTGTTCTTGACCCACAAGGGAGGTGCTGTCCTGGGACCCTGGCTCTGTTGGGAGAATGGCTTTGCCATCCCCATGTGGACCGTGGACACAGAGCAAACCAGCTCCACTGCAGCAAGAGAGACCATGCCATGGTGGGCAGGTAGCAGACAACCTGTTTTCTTAGTTGCTCAAAACAAGGCTCTTCCCGGGTCTTGGAAACAATGAAGTGAGCCTCGGTTCCATGTTGGTTCCGTGTGTTGGCTGTTTGGGAAGGAGGTGCTGGGGTGATCGTCCCCCTCTCGTCCCCAAGTTCATTTCCAGGCAGGGATGACATCACCCCTCCTCTCTGCCTTGTCATCTGCACATCTGTGGCATCAATCTCCCTTGAGGCACCACTTCACTGCTTTTACATCATTGACCTTGAGCCTGAATGTCAGAGGCGCCACTCTGCCCATTGATGGCCTAGAGCCTCATCTTTCCCTTTCCCTTTCCCTTTCCCTTTCTTTCTGTCTGTCTTTCTCTCTCTCCCTCTTCCTTCCTTCCTTCCTTCCTTCCTTCCTTCCTTCCTTCCTTCCTTCCTTCCTTCCTTCCTTCCCTTTTCCTTTCCCTTTCCCTTTCCCTTTCCCTTTCCCTTTCCCTTTCCCTTTCCCTTTCCCTTTCGCTAGCTTCCTTCCTTCCTTGCTTCCTTCCTTCCTTCATTCGTTCCTACCTTCGGTCCTTCAATCGTGGTTACGGCAGACTGACTGGCTGTCGTTCTTGAGAGAGGCTTCGGAATCCTTCGTGAAAAGCTTCTCTTTCTGGCTTGCCTCGAGACCAGAGACGAGAGGGGGAGGAAGAATAATGAAGGCATAAGAACAGAAAGAAAGGAAAAGCAAGAAAGAGTGAGAGG